ATGAACCTGACGAAGTAGATGACATGCCACACAGTGTAATATAGGTATCTACGTTATTGGGTATACTGATACCACATGCCCTCGCTACAATCTCAGCGTTGTGCATTGATAACCAAAAGTTGAGCAAAAATGAAGATTATATTTCTAAGCGCCTATGTCACGATGATGCAGCCAGTTCATTGCCCTACCGTGACCGTGACCACCTGTTCAAACCCGGCCTGTTCAGAGGCTCCGTGACCGTGACGTGAACTGTTGGTCATGGCGGTACAGTACCTGCGGGTCGTGCTAACAAAAGGCCGGCCTCCTTCACTGCGGGAGGTCGCCATCTGAAGCAGCTGAACGGACGGTGAAGCTAGCGTCAGTCAAGAGAATAGGTCGAGGATCTATTTTATTGACTGACACTAACTTCACCATGCGTTCGGCTGGTGTAAGCACACGGTGTCTCAGCCAGGACCAAAGGGCACATAGCAAATCTGGGCGCTTATGAATGGCTAGGCCGGTGCAACTTGATAAGTTCCCGTGTCTGTACCTCCCAACTGAAACTCTTGTGTTGCGCCACTCTGTGACAATTCTTGCCAGTGTGTAAGGATTTTCCCACGCTTTGTGTCGCCCACACTCAGTGTTGCCGTGTACATCCGGTCCATGTTGTCGATGTTCATGCGGATGTCGATGCAACTGTCGTTACAGACGCTCTGCAACGACGGGTTAGCACGCATCTCAACGGCTTGCACATTTGGAAAGGCTTACGTTGGTATTATCTGAGAGCCGAAAAGGGACGACTTCAGGACGTGGTCGTGAGCATGATGGAGCAACGGAAGCGTGAAGGTCTCTTCTTGGCTTGCGGATCCGTAGAACAGTGTCTTGCCACTGGTGGCCCTGATATCTGCGTGAGCGCAAGTTGTCTAAAAGAGAGATAGACATACGAGCTTCCACTCAGCGCTGAAGAAATGCACTGGCTTGAGCGGTACGGGGTCATTGCCCACGGCCCCACGCGCAACTTCGTGGGCCTACTCTTCAATACAGAGATACCACACTCAACGCCCCACGATATCTTGTGGCCCTTGAGCTCTAGGTAGCTCTTCCCGTACACATTCTGATGCTGCTCGCAGGCGCTCCGAGACGGGTCGAATATCAAGGTCGAGGACTCGAGAGCAAGCGCATCCAATCATCCTCAAGTGCACTCTTAAGATCTCTCAATAGCGCTCCTCCTACTGCGCCCGTGCCTTGAGTCTTCTGTTGCTCTACGGATGGCTATCGTCGACCTAGAGGACGAGTTCATCCCGACCGCAACGCACAGCAAATCGTATACGAGCGGGCTACTGAGAGGTTCGACGCTGCACCTAGAGTTTGTGACATGTTCTGTCAAACAGCAGCCAACCAAGAGTAAGTAGGCATGCGCACCTAAATCCCAGCTCCGTGCCAACATACTTCTGACCAACGACTCTCCCTCCGGATTGGCGTCTTGGCAAGTACAGCTCTGGCTGCCGGTCGAGCTTCACGAGCGGCTCCAATGGAAGAAACTTGCTTGAAGAGGACAGAGAAAAGGGGCTGTCACAGATACTCTTTCTACTGGGACCGGACGCGGTGGCTTTGGGAGTGTAAGGGAGTGCCGGTCGTAGCGTTGTCCCAGTGGCAACATCCAGAGAGCGAGACATCTTAGACAAAGCATGGGATATGTTTCACAGCTAGGTTTCTAAAGAAAGACTGCATGGCAACGTCTGTAGGGCGGAGGCCGATTCGTGATGGATGTCGAGGGGCAGAAGAGCCAAGTCGGGGACGCGCCCGCAATCCTCGGGTGCCACAAGGCTTTCGACATCTTGTCCGAGCTTTACCATCTTCGCTTCAGACCACCTAGGTTCCGGTCTCGACCAAACGGGGTGTCCACGTCCAGTCCGCTGTCTATTTTGCACGCAACAACTCCGCCGTGTCGCACGTGTCAGCTCAGGAGGTGGTTGCCAGAAGGTCGCAACGCGCGATTTTGCCCAGCATGAGTCTGCTGTATATGTGGCGTGTCAGCACCAGCGAATATTCATCAACATATGTGCTTCGTGATGCAGCCGTGGGCCTTGCGCTCTGGGCGTCGTCTCGTTTCCAACGCTCGCGCAGTGCGCCGCCCTATTCCGTACTCAAGGACCACCCATACCGTTCTGCATGACAACGAAGCTACGATGTGGCAAAGGGATGAGCCCCGGACGAGTAGTGCTTCCAGAGATTCAAAACTTGAATTCGCACAGCCCGGCAGGTTCGTGGTAGGTAACAGCGTCGTGCACGCAAGCATTATCAGGAAATTGACGTCTGGAACGCAGGTATCATCGCGCTGAAGAGCACAGCCGCGAAAGAGTACATGGGTACGTGAGCTACGGTGCATTTTTGTGAAGCGGTCCGAATCTTCAAGCGTTTTTTTGGTTCTCAAAGCAATTTCCAGTTTTGACCGAGATTTTAGGGTCGACATAGATGCATGTTTCTTCCACCGTTGCGGAGCGTCCTACACGACTATCCCGTCGATTCTTGCATCCGTCTCGGCTACAGGTTCGAATGTGCTCAACGGCTCAATGCGCGGACGATACCAAGGGAATGAGGATTTTTGCACGGTGGTCGTCCGAGAGTGACACCTATACGTACGTTCGCCTTTTATTCTGCGTACACGAATGTCTCGTACTAAATTCGTTTTGCAGCGCACACCGCCCCGCGAATGATGTCGCACTTGGCCTGCCGACAAACCGAGCGGACAACTCACGTTTTAAGGACGTTTACATCCAGAATGTGGAACGCGTCGAGTCGGCAGCTGCGATTCGCAACATAAAAGTGCCACTGGCAGGGGAGAGTTCAACACGGAT